GATACAAGAATAAGAGATAAAATTGGTAGCCAGCTCGAGGAAAATTAGAGATCGAGATCGCCGGGTGTAGAACCCGATAGATAGATCGTCTGGCCCGGAGGTAACATGAGTGATTTCTGCAATTACGCCCGGACGGCCTTCGAGGAGTCTCCCGAAAGTACCAGTAAGACTGGAGGACTCGGCCTCGAACGGAGAGAAAATAGGACGAAGCCGGGATGCTGGAGCGATGCCGCAGCCCGATAACGTACGTCTCTCCGCCGCGGGTCTTGTCCCGTTGTCTTCTTGGGGCCGGGGACGCCGTCGTCGCCACACGCCAGGAGCAACTGTGGTACGGATAGGTAGACCGTCAAACAGATTGAAATCAAAGGGGAGAGAAAGAGGAATGGGAGAGGAGGGAAAATGAGGCGCGGACTTCTATTTTCTCCCGCAGAGAGTACCGCAGCCAAATCTGAAATGAAAATCTGCGGCGGGCCCGCGGGATAATTCGGCGGAACGGAGGGCGGAGGGAACGCGGGCAAGAACGCCGACAAGCTGATTAAAAAGTCGCCCCGCGAACCCCCGCCGGGGGTATGAATATAATCTCCGACAAATATTTAAGTTGCCAGCGTTGCGCCGCGGAGGTCACCGTTGTTGACTGCGCGCGTTACCCGATAACGAAGTGACCCTACCCGAAGCGTGGCTATCTCGCCGGAAATAATGCCACTTCGCGAATTAACCCGTTCAAAAGCGCCGACTCGCGCTTTCCCGTGATCATCTCCCGCGGTACGTTACGATGAATCAAAGAGAGTAGAAGCCGCCCTCCCTCCCCGGCGCCCGCTGCGAAAGCAAAGCGCGCGTTCCGTAAAACGAATCCGAATTTTCAAGTCGTTTGGATATTCGGGCGCGGGGGTGGCGCGTTTCTACTCAAAAATTCAAACATTCAAACAATTCGACGTGGAAGCCCGGTAATTATTCAAAATATCTGTATTATGCGATTATTGGATTATTTACAATCCAATATGCAGGTAACGAGATTGCAATTTGGACGCGATGATCCAGATCAATCGTTGCGCGTATTACGGAAATAACGGGAAAAATTTGCTTGGCGTACGAGACGAGGCGCGAAGTGCAATATTTTGTAAATTCTTATAAACATATAAACGCAGACTTCCGCGTACGGTCGTCGGACACCCGAAACGCAGTTAATCGTAAAAATGTATAGAGGCTCGAATTCATGCCGATATTTATTGCTTCGGTTTTCTGCTGTGACAACAAAAGATCGTGTATCACCTTCCGCGGTTGAGGCCGAAAAATATTTTTGCCGTTATCAGATAAAACTCAAGCGACGAAAAAATACGAGAGAAAGGAGGGCTTTAGCCGGCGCGCGAATCTGCCGGGTAAGCGCTTTTCCCCCGACGCCCCCCGCCAAAGCGGGGGGCCGCGCGGCGGAGTTCTCGGTTATGTAGAAACATTTTATATAATCCCGTGCCGCATCGGCGAAGAGAATCCTCCAAAAGATACCGCCGCGTTCCCTAAGACTTGTATTCTTATTCTGGCCGATCGGAAACGTCAGCGACTTTGTCCGCCGCCGCCGCCTTTGTCATTCGTTGACTTAAAAAAAAGAATCTACAAATCCGTGATTTCTACCGTGTATAACGTAGGAAGAAAAAAAAGCACTGGACGCAGAGACAGTTAAACTGTAGGATTGCAGAATATTATGTCGAACGCTTATTCCTCGAAAAATATTCCACTATTGCACTGCGTTGTATACATTTTTTGTTGTTCGATGTAATCAAATCCGTATTAATGTAAAAAACATAGAAAGAAAATATTTACGTGATTTTGTATCATCAACAGTATTTAAATTCTCTTTTATCTAAACGATAGTTGGGTTAGTAATAGTTGTGCGTTTGACATATACAGCACTGATAAAAAAATATGTTAATAAAAAAAAATGTTACTTTACTCGGGAAAATTATTTATTATGCTCCTAATAGCTTATTAACTTAAATTTAAAAAATAATAAACAAATTAAAACATGCATTTCTTTAATTTAAGTATTTATTAAATGTCAAGCAGTAGATAATTTTAAATTAAAAAATGTTACTTTAACTCTATAAAATGTTTAGTAAGATATAAGTTTTAGAGCGAAGAAAATTGGATTTCTTATTTGACAAAAACGATTATTTCATTTAATAAATAGCATTCTCTATCTTATGAAATCTTTAGTTGAATGTAGAAAATGTAACGATTTAAATTAATTTACCTAATATAATACACAGATTTACTTGAAATTTGGTATTTTTATTTAAATAGAATAAATATTTACTTCGGTAAAAAAAAAATTTTAAGCAAATCTATTTACTTAGTTTAAAAAAATTTTTTTGTCAGTGCATAAAGTTCCTTTCATAAATTTAATTTTGGTAATATATAATGTGTGACGTGCACTTCAATCATTACAAAAACTCGCGAAATTCCTCTCCATATTGATGAGAAGTACTTACGTAATTCTCATCAATAATCCTAATCGCGAGTATCGCGACCCTTTGACTCCTACAAGCAAATAGCCTCCGGGGACTTGCATTATTTAATTATTCGCAGTATTCCACTGCATTAATTAATCAACCAACCTTGGCTTTCACTTGCCAAAATCGCTCCGCGAGCCGTCTTAGCAGTCGCGATTCCCTAATTGAGCCCTACAAAGGATGTTGTACATCACAAACGGTTCGACTCGCTGAGCTCTCGAGTTACGTATCTCAAATGCAAATCGAAATCGAACCGAGAGAAGCAAATAAATAGATAGCTATGTTTAGTATTGTTAATCCATTAGACAATCCTGCCTGTAAAAGCGGCTCTAATATCACAAGAGAATAGCACCTTGCGAATGATCGTAGGAACACAGCGGGATTAAAAACAGAAAAATGTCGCTTATCCGATACGGTAATCACGTCCGTTTAGTGGCGGCTTTTAAAATTAGTCGCATCTCGGCGGAGAGAAGACGCGGTCCAGCGCAATTATCCCGCGCCGCTTGAAGGCGCAATACAGGGGGGATTAACATTTTTGGCGTCCACCGCTAATTAGTCGCCGATCGTAATGAGGGAACGCGCGCGCGGGCGGCGATTAGGCGCGCGGCTAATCCGCGCGCTGGACGATCGCCGTCGGCCTGCCGGAGCGTCGCGACGCGGCTCGACGGCGCGCACAGACGGCCGTGCGATATTGCGCTAAACCGAGCAATTACCGGCCGTAATCCCGGTAATAGAATTCCAATATGCGTGCCAATTGGACCGAGTCCTCCCCGAGTGCGGGCGTGCAGGCGCGAACCGGCAGGCCGGACCTGCACGCCCCGACGAAAACCGTGACACGGTTCGCCCATTAGCCACGGCCCTCGATTATCCGTGGGCTGTTTGGCTGTACACACGTGCAGCACACGCATCTCCACGTACGCATACGCGTATCGCGCGTATGCGCGCGATGAGGGGGCGAGCCGCAATGCGGGGGGCTCTGCAGAGGGTACGGGAGTACGGGAGAGGCCCGGGACCCATCCCTCGGTCCGGCTGATCTGTCCGATCTGGTGAATTCTATACTGTACAGTAGCAAGTCCTCGGACTGTCCCCTTGAAAAGGATGGACAGAGTGAGGGACAGACAAATGATTCCCATATCTGCCTCTTGGTCAACCTCATAAAAACGAGATAGAAATCGGGGGATAGAAAATCGTTGGCCAATCGGAATTACTGTACGGAGTAAATTTTCTCTTATTCGTTCTGAAAATCGTGATGAGAGTTCGTGAAATTTTACCATACATTTTACTAATAAAATGTACGGTAAAATTTAAGAAAACTCTTATGAAGTTGTATAAAACGCCACGTTGTCCCACGATTTTCAAAGGAAAATATAAATAGGAACCATTTGTCTGTCTGACTCTGTCCATCTTCAAGAAGGCAGTAGGGGGTCAATTCTTGCAACACAGTGAAAATACCAAAAGTGAGCGGCTTTGTCCCTTTTTTAAGGGGATAGTTAGAAAGAGACAAGGCTACTCACTTTTAGCATTTTCACTATAGTGTAAGACACAGAACTGACCACTGAAAGGTCAATTCTGCATCTTGCAACATAGTGAAAATGCTAAAAGCGAGCGGCTTTGTCTCTTTTTAAGGGGACAGTTCGAAAGAGACAAGGCTACTCACTTTTAGCATTTTCACTATAGTGTAAGACACAGAACTGACCACTGAAAGGTCAATTCTGCAACATAGTGAAAATGCCAAAAGCGAGCGGCTTTGTCTCTTTCTAAGGGGACAGTTAGAAAGGGACAGAGCTACTTTTAGCATTTTCACTACAGCGTAAGATACAGAGTCGACCACTAGGTATCTCGGTATAGAGTTGACGATCGCACGTTCGATACGTGATGTGGTCACGGTCGCTGTTAGCACAATTTCAAAATCTGCTGACCTGACGCCCGACGTGATTACCGGCACGCATATCGCGCGCGACTCGCATGAATAGCGCGGGTAGAGAATAGAACAGGAGGGAAGATATCTGTCCGGAATCTCGGCCGGTGTACCGAGCGAGCATTGAAATCGGTAACAATTTCGGCGGAGTTCAATTCTCCGATATAGACGCGGAATTCGATGCTGTAGATACGTAAAAATGTATAGCCATGCGTCAGTCGTCGGGTTTCATTACGTATCCGTGTATATGCCAGTAACTCGCGAAAATTACACCGGCTGTCCGTGAGATACACTATCTCTATGTAAACGTGCGTTTTTTCCCCCACTCCGAATGTAACGTTGTCAATCAAGGAGATGACTTGTAGAACGCTTTTAAAGACAGCACCGACCAATTGACAAATAAGTAAAAACATCGAGTGGAAAAGGGGTCTTTAAAAATGATCGCAGTCTGGAGTTTGTACGTAAATTTAAACTGCATTATTCTGTTAAAAAATTATTGTACCTGTTTTTTTTCTTCAGGACAAAATTTCATACAAACTCGCGTTGTACGTATCTTTTACATGGAAAACAAGGAAACATTTTTGAGAGATACTCCCCGTGTATTCATGCTTTAACATTGCATAAAACTACTTACATAGTTCTGGAAGCTGGGAAAGCATGGTGAACAGGAATGTGGAGAGGAGATGGTATCAGCACGACGTGGAAACAACTGTTGCGAGCTTCTCGTGCGTAAGGAAGTGAAAAAAGGTTGGATGTTACCGCGTCATTGACGGCCGCGTCGAACTTCTGCATTGTGCCGCGAGCGTGGACTTTCCGCTTTTGCGCGTTTATTCGCGATCCGTTGCGGGAATGAACGGCGAACGTGGAATTTCACTCTGAATATACAGAAACAGAACCAATATTACAAACTGCGTCGTTCGGCGATGCGCTCGCACATTGTGCAATCACACGAAACACTAAAATGTACCGGTCCTTCACTTAACCGATGAAATTCAGACCGATCCCCACGGCGTTTTATCGCCAAAAACGCTTCGATTCACGTCGTCATTGCACATGCGGAATTATACGAGAATCAAAATTATTGGAGACCAACGTCAATGGTTTTCTCAAGTGATCGCATAAGTGACGGATAATAAAAATAGAAAGCTTTATTCTCTTGCGGCAAAACAGGAGAAAAGTCCTCCTTCAAAATTTTTTTCTTGTTTCACGCTTTTTTAATTGTTCCCGGTTTTTCACGCAGCCTCTAACGTCTTAATGCCCATTTTTACCAACGCAGATTAACTTTAATCTCGGTTCAACTCACCTTTTTATGTTTTTCTAATTTTCAAACTTAGGAAGAGATAAAAAGTACGTTGAACCGAGATTAAAGTTAATACGTTGGTAGAAACGGACGTAAGACGAGTGAATTATTGATACGGCGAAATATCTAGCGAGAAGTTTCTCTAAGAAACTCGAGTAAAAACAAAATACTTATTGTCCGCGTGTTTATCTTATCGCCGTAAAAACACATCGTGCCCTCCGAGCGGGCGCGAAACAAAGGACCAGGAGTTGACGACCAGTGTACGTGTGGGTAAGGATCGAGGGATTCTACGGGAGGATATACGAGAGCGGAGAACTCGGGCGGGAGGATCCTTTGCCGTTAATTGGACCAGGTCCGATGATGTCGCCGTGCGAATTGTCGGCCACGAAATTACCCCGATATCTTCTCGCGTCGTCATTTAAAGCCCGAGCCCGGTACAATCGGACGTCGCTACACGGATTTTCTTTTCCCAGTGCCTCGCCGACGAGACCGAAGGGGGTCCAATTACCCCCGGACGGCGAGACCGGCCGGCGAGTTTTCGTCGGGACGAAAATCGCAACGAGAGACGCGAAATAAGACGCGGGGAATAATAAAACGTAGCGTCCCCCGAGGCGTTCTCTCTTCCTACTCTCTCCTCGCGTAACGGCGTGGCGCAGCCCGCGCGCGAGCGTTGCACGTCTAACGTAAATTATCGATGTTATTGGAGCGCGAGATAAATTTAACCCCGATTCATTGCGCGATTACATTTAATTGCCTCCAATTAAATCGCCGTTCCAATTAAAATCGACGCGAGCGCGGAGGGTTCATTACGATTTATTGGACCAATGGTAGCGGTCCTTCTCTCTGTCCTTTATCTCGCGCGCGCTCTTGCGTCACGGATTCGCAAAGAACTGAACCGAAGGAATCAATAAGCTTCTTTGTGTGCATTTTAGACACTTTTGCGATACCCTCTTTGGGAAAGCCTCGGTTTCTCCTATTCAAACGCCTGCGTAGAGAACTCAAACCGACACTCGCTGCAGTTGCCGGGAGACAATTTCTAAAGGCAGCCGTCTCTATCGTAATTAGGATACCTTTAACATCTGCTCTTACAGAGAAAATGACAGTATTTATTTAAAATAATATCGATATAAAAAATGTACTAGCGTAACATTGCGCTTCTTCAGAACAACATCGTGTTACCTACGAGATCACTACCGTCCCTATAGTAAAAAGCTAACACATTTTTATTTACGAAAATACAAAAGTACGCGCATCTGTCATAAATATGCATTCAAAGAATCGAGAGATAGGTTTTCTTACGCAGTAATGTTCATGGATTTTCGTAAGGTGGATGCGCAGATAATGGAAGCGTTCATTGACTAGCCGGCGGCGAGCCGCCGCTGTCGTACTGGCTCTTGTTCCTCAATAAATAACCAGCGAGGAAGTTTATGGGGTCGGAAGGCCTTTCCTTGGCCAGGCAGGACAACGCTTGCAGCAATATCGGCACTACAGTCTGATCTAAATACTGTCTGGTTGGAAGAGATTGTACTTCGACGCGAGGTTTCTTGGCTGGTATGCTGGACAGATCGCCATCCTTGTCCATCGCTATGACTTTCTGCAACCGAAAAGAGCGCAGTATCAGCGAACAGTAGTCCTAAAAGAACGCTTAATCTTCATGATTAAAGAGCTATAGTATCGTCCACGTATAAATAAATACTTCATTTAACTCTCAGACTCGAAACGCGTGCTCCGCACTTGAGAGAGAGTGCGCGCGTGTGTGTGTATTATTGCTCCAGCGCAAAAATCGTTATCAGCTGGTCAGACGAGAGACGCGTGTTGGCCGGTCCCTAACCTAACTTTCGCGCCGTGAGACGCGCGGAGTGCGGGACTGACCATCGGCGTTCTGACGTCGCGGCGGGGCGGCCGCACCGGCGGCAAACCCCGGCGACGCGTCGCCGCTCCCGGCGCGGGCGACGCGGTTTCTAGGTTATGCGCTTCACTTACGTGGGTCGTCTCGGATACGGCATTGGCGACGGGCTGTGCCGGCGCTGACGCTTCCGTCCGTTCCTCGGCCGCGTTTTCTGCCGTCAAAAAAGAAATGAGCAGTTTCAGAACAGAACACAGAATGGCCGTTATTGCTATTAATAGGCGATTTCGCGCGCCGACCCTGGCCGTGCGATGGCCGGGCCGGCCCATGGTTACGCGGAAATAGGAAATAAGTGGACACGTACCACCGCCGGACGCCATCGTGTAAACAATCGTCACTGCCGACCGACGTCGAACTATCGCGCCGGGATAACGTCGCCGACGTCGGGCCGGTAAAGCCGCGCCGTCGACAAGGCAGCGCTGAAGGCCCGCGGCTGCGAAAAGAGGCCGAATGGCCCACAGAAGCGATAATAATTGGTAACGAACGATGCAACAATAATGATTATTTACCGAGGTGCAAAATTCACACTCTATGCTCATAAAATGCTGAAATATACCGTGACGTTCTATACATTTTCTAACATGATTTTTATTTGTTTTTTTTTACGATACTGTTTTTCACGTCACAAAATTATGTTGTTGCTATCGTGACGTTCTAAACATTTTCTAACGTAATTTTTACGTTTTTTTTTATATAAAACTGTTATATTTACCAATAATTGCTAATTGCACGTTAGAGCAAGCTCGTTTAATTCGTTCCTTCAAGTTATTTTCTCAAATAAATTCCTGCGCATGCGAGTAACACAGAATAGTGAGTGAAATCAAATTTACAATAAAAAAAACGTATACAGCGTGTTATGTAACACCCGCCTCACCTCTTATTTATGAATAGAGCGGACTAGACTGTCGTGAGTCGAAAAGTCCTCTACCACGTTGCAATTTTCGCAATAGTTATCGAGTTATTAATTATTAAAACTCGCTGTCTTGGCCCGGTCTAACGCCCAATTCAAGCTCGCGGCGAGACACGGCCGTCCCGCGATTGCCGTTGCTAGCAATTGTTTACGGCCGGTATTTATAGTCCATTCTTAAGCCAACGGCACACGATACTATTTTTCCTACTGGATTCCTTACGAGAGCCAATCAGGATTCAGCCTTAAGTTATCTGATCGAAAACTCTGCATTCTGATTGGCTCTCGTAAGCAATCCAGTAGGAAAAATAGTATCGTGTGCCGTTGGCTTTATATTTAAGATCATCTTAAGTGTACTCTTAATGTATTTTTAACCAATCACCGAGCCGTATTAGCCTCTTAAGACAACACTTGAGATGATTTTGAAATATGAATCGACTATGAATACCGGCCTATGACACACGGCAAGGGCTACGTACAGTGTTTGCTGTTATCTAAATAAAATTATATAGATGATTATCTAGATAAAATTTTAGCGTTATCTTATCTTTATATAGATAATAAAAATAAGTATTAACTATATCTGCATCTTAGATGAAAGAAAGTGTTATTTTTACTAAATTATCTAAGATAACGTACAGATAATTTGGTTTAGGGCCACATAAGGTTAGCCACATAAAAATACTTAACAGTTACACTATTTAAATATTGGATGGCGTTGTAGACCATGCATTTATGTGTGTGTCATATAACTTAACCTGAATATATTCTATATCCCCCTTTATAATTTAAATTTTTCTATAATTTTTTTATAACTTTCTCTACTGTGTTTACATGAAGTCTTAAAAATATTATCTGCAAATTATCTAGATGAATCATCATATGATTTTATCTTTTATCTAGATATATTAAAAACGAAATCATCTTTATCTTATCTAAGATAAATTTATATATTTTTATCTTATCTTTAGCTAGCTAATTTTAAAATCATCTATGCACAACACTGGCTACGTATAATAAACTCCCCGCGCGCCTAGCAACGCCGATCGCGGGACAGCCGCATCTCACAGCGCGCTTTAATTGGGTGGTAGGCCGGGCTAAGATAGCGATTTGTAATAATTAATAACTCGTTAACTGTTGCGAAAATTGCAAAATGGTAGAGGACTTTTCGACTCGGTCTAGTCCGCTCTATCCGTAAGTAAAAGATGGGGCGAGTATTATTATACGTAACGCCCCGTATAAGTTTATTTTTTAAAAGCAATTGTTTCTTGCATATGCACTGGTACATGATTCGAAAGAATATAATCACAGAATAATAAATTACAGATACTCATATGATTGAAACAAGTTATATGATAGAAATAATTCTAATATTTTGACGTCACCATGATGCACAAAAAATGACCAAAAAAATGATGCCATCTTGATGTTTTCGTGACTAACATGTTCTACTTGGGAAGTTACAATTTTTAACGTTCCCGTGAATGGCCGCACAAACATGCAAAAAAGCAAGAACTAAAATACTTAATAGTGGATGTACAAATGTATAAAAAGGGTAGGAATATCTTGACCTTTTCACAGCCGAATTAATTTTTTCGTTCCAAGTTTATATTGATATGTTTTTTCGTAGAATGCATCTTAAATCATTGAGTCGTTAAAAAATTTTTAAGTGAGACGCGTGTGTCTCAGCGATCATGAAAGAGTTGGTATATTCGCGCAAAAGTGAGTCGGCGATTGTTTTAAGGTTTCTTTATTCAACGCAAAGTTAGACGCTACAACTTTGGTACAAAAACATAAAGTAGTGGCGTTGAGAGGAAACGGTACACTGCGAGCGGATCCTCGAGTCTCCTCGAGCGCGGGTGACGTGAGCTCTTTTCCTTTTGTTTTTCCATTGTCAAACGAGATTATCGCGTTCCCGCGATTCTTCCGCACGTACGCAAGGATCGTCAGAAGGGACACGAAGGAAACGCTTCGAGTTTGACAGGCGACGATGAGGAGGGCGGGACGAGGGCAAGGAGCGCGAGCTCGAAGAACCGCGTTCGCCGTCGTACGAAAGGAACAGCCAAACGCTTTCAACGCATATCATTATCAATCAAGCATACACAAGCGAGCGACACGCTTCGCGGCGTCTCTCCTAAAAAGTAACGTCGAGTCTTGCAAAGAATTACTTACGCAATATAACGTCGATCACGAGAAGCGCGACGAGCGAACGATGGGCTCAGCAGGGGGTGTCCGGCGAGGAGGGCGCGCGAGGGGGCGAATATATAATCTAACCGGGGGATGTTACTGCGAGGGCAAAGCAAATCGCGAGCCGAGATGTGAATGAAGCGGTGAGCGGTAAACGTGGACGTAAAAATTCTCAGTCTTTGAATCGTATTACTCGTTATCGACTGGTTTCAGCTGCGAAAAACATTTCATGTTTAGCCGAAATCCGAGATCCAACTGATTGTCGCTAAATTGCCCCGTACGCGGGTTCCTCCCCTCGCTGCCGGCCACCCCCGCTGTGGCCGCTCACAACATAAACGTTTATCACCTGTGCGACGTCGCGGACGTCCACTTTCGCTTAAGACAAAGGATAAACCGCGACCAAGGTAGCGCGCGCGGACGTGATCATATATTACTACGTACGAATGCATTAATATCGTTATCATCGTTATCGTATTAGCTCTGGTTAGATTCGGAAGCGATTCGAAGCGACAAAGTTTCGCGAGGGGGGGGGGAGGGGAGGGGAGTTTACGTGAGTAGAACGTGTGATACTGTTAAGTCGTTAAGGGAGTGACTTGGGACGAGAGATACGGCTACGTTAATTACGGTAAGAGCGCGATCGTAACATATACACGAGACACGAGGCTTTTTGCGCAGCCTTTTAAAATCACATCGATGAGTAAAAGTGCGTTGGCGCGTCGAGCCGCGGCCAGTCTCGAGCGGCAGAGGGTAGGAACTCCTCTGCGGGGGCGGAAGGCGACTCGAGCGGACCTGGGGTACCCTCGAAACGTCCCGGGGATTCTCACGGTCCGTATTTCCGTTTTAATTTCCATTCACGTTGGCGCGTAACAAAGGACTGGCAGTAGCAATTTAGGCCATATCATAATCGCGGCACGAATGAGGTTGACTTTGAGATGTAATAGCACCAGAATGTGTGTCAGTATCAAATAACGTTCGGAATGCTTGCTCTCTCTCTCTCTCGATGAAGTAAACCGGATGAGTCGAGTGAACGGTAACGCTAGCGAGGAACAATAAGACGTCCAGCACTTATCCGGAATTGAGTACAACGGGGGGATCGACCGATGTTACGATGTTACGGCCGTTGTCTCTCTCGAGGGTACCTGTCGGCCCGGTCGCCCGACTGGGGGCCGGCTCGCGCATCGCCTCGGCAAACAAATGCGACACCTAGAAATAGCTACTTACAACGTATGTATATATAGTATAGTGTTATATATAATATATATTTATATTTATATTTGTATGTATATATATCTAGAAATAGTATCGTGATAAAAACGAACTATGAGACGCGGCGTCGTGGCGTCGCGGCGCCGCGCGACGTCGGGCTGGTACCACACATACGCGCGCGCGCGAAGAGGCCCCGGAAGCATCCGCTTCGTCCGTTCGTTCGTTCGTACGTTTCGTTTCGTCGAACTAAAGCAAAAGACCAACTGTCCAGTCGTAGGACAGGCAAACGGGCCGTCTTCGTTTCGCGATTATCCCGTTCCGTCAACCAGGGCCCGACCTCTCGCCTCGTCGCGAAGACCCAACGATGCCTTCTCGCGACCATCCGTCCGACTTACGAGCTATCTACGTTAAACCAGCTTCTTTTATTACTCGAATCGCTTACACCTGTAACGATCATCGTCGCGATGCCAGTGAATCTTACGTACGGTACGTCGCAATCGATCGTAGAAGATTAGCACGGGGGCAGGGGGGGGCGATTAGGGCGGGGGGATAATTAGGTGTTTACAGCGGACTAAATATTTATATCATATAGGACGACAGCAAGTGTGTAGTGTGTATGTATGTGGCGTGTATTGCGTGCACGCGCCAGCGCGCGTGGCGATCAATGTTGTATATTGTAAATTGTGGTAAATCGGTGTGGCCGGCCTTGCCGTGTGTGTCGAAGCGTTCCCTCGATGGCTCGCCGCGTTGTTCTTCCTACGGACAGTCGATCGGTGTTCCTTATTTTTTTTCTCTCTCTCTCTCTTCTTCTTTACGCGTAACGGGACTTTTGCAACCCCTTTCGATGCGAGCGACGGGAGTGTCTCGCCTAAGCGGATCGCTACAAGGACGACGACGAAAGACGAAAGACGAAGAAGCGACGACGTTACCCTAATAAACCTTGCTCTCCGCGACGTCGAGACTCAAGTTCACCGATCGTCAAGGGGTGGGTAGGGGGCGGGCGGGGGGGGCGGGGACACAACCTTCGTTACGAAATTATAAATCGTTATATGTATATAGTATATGTGTACGTATCTATATATCGTACGCCCGCAGGGAGCGGCAGTGTGGCACAACCATGACTTAAAAAGCGACCAACTAATCTTCGTGTATACGCGTACATGTCGTTTATACGGTTTCCGTTTTCCCTTTTTTTTCCCTTTCCTTTTTCTTTTCTCCCCCATTTACGCAACGACGCTGCGACGAATGTGTAACCTAGGATTAATATCCCGGATATATATGTAGCATATATATATATATATCAGAAGACCCCCGTTAAATCCACCGTCGCCGAGAGCACCATCGCATGGGCCGCGTCTCTGCCGCGGCTGAGCGTCCGCGAACACGACTTCCGGCTGCGTGTTCGCCTTCCTACAGGACAAGTCTCTTCACGGCAGACTCTCGGGCCTCGAGCCTCCCGCGTGCACGTTCGACGATATAATAGCGAGGGGATGTGCAAATTCCCCCTCTCAGTCTCACCGATAATAATCGAAGGGTCTCCGCGTACGCGAAGACGGTCGGCTAATCAATGAGAGTTCGTGTCGTCGGGTGTCTCCCGCAAGTAACGTGGCGTCGAGCTCGAACGCGCACCCTCGAGGAAGACACGTATCGAAACACAAGTCACTTTCTTCGATACCGGTCAGTATCGGCAATGTTGGATATGCAAAAGAAAATCTCAGACCACGCGCGACGTCGAACGTGCGCGGAGGAGTTCCGGGACTCGTGAAAGTGTTATGGACAGTGAACCCCTATGCTGGAAGACCTACTGTCCATTTGAAGATGATGGACAGAGTGAGACGGACAAATGGTTCCCACTTCTGCCTCTTTCTACTGGTTCTGATTGGTCAACGATTTTCCATCACACTCCACGATATAAGTGACCGTGAGATCAGTAAACTCTATAATATACTCGAGTGAGTGGTCCCATTGTTTCCTATTGTTCTCGAGGTCGCCCGAGAAAGAGGGGTTGTTGGGTGAATCTCTGTCTCTTTCTCTACTTTTCATTGGTCAACGATCTTCTATCCCGCCTTGTACGAGTGAGATAGAAAATCATCAACTAATCAGAGAAAAAGAGACATCCTATTCACCCAACAGTATCTCCCTCTCTCTCGGCGACATCGAGAGCAATAGGAAACAATGAGATCACTTACTCCAGTAACTTACAGAGTGTGAAATAGAAAATCGCTGACTGAGAATTACTAGAGAGAGAGAGACACAGAATGTAGAACCATTTGTCTATCCCGGAACTGTCTCACTCTGTCCATCATCTTCAAGACGGCAGTAGACTTCCAGTATAGCGTAGAGTTCACCGGTTACGGACGAAGCCCCACGTGGGGCTGACCTCACGAATCGCTGTGCCTCCTTCGCCGGTAAGGGCAGTAGTTAAGGTCAGCCTTGGGTCAGGCCCTCCCACGGATGTTGTGCGTAATCGACTGAACCGTTTCGGAAAAGTTGATCGAGAAACGAGGCGGTTTCGTGAGTCCGGCCCTCCTCACCCAGGATCAAATGCAAACGAACGTACCCGAGGAAGTACAAGGAACGAGCGGAAGGCCGGAGAGAGCTCGGGGTAAGAAAGTGGTCGCGTGATATGGTGATTCGCGAGGGCGAAGGAGGCGGTCCCATTTCGCGAGGCGGGCCGCGGGATCCCCGTCCGTAATCACGTTCTCGAGAAGAAATCGACACGCGTACGCCTTACACGGTAAATCGTATCTACCTACTCGCGACGACGTCTCTAATTTCTAAATCGTAAATCGTTGCAAATTGGACCGACGACAGCACCGGGGGAAGAGTTGGCGTTGCGCTTCATTTCCGCTGCTCTCGGCTGCTCTCCTTCGCGGCCGCGCGGCTATCGAGAGAAGCGGAAGACCACGGAAGATGACGATTTACAGGTTACACTGCCACAGTATCGTAGGGTGTGAGGAGTCCCCCGTGACCGCCGTGGGGGGCGCCGGTTTGCCGGCCGGGAGCTTCGTTTCTGCAACAGGAATTTGCGTTCTTGGCACATCCGGCACCGACATCGTTTCACCACGCAACAATCCCTCCCCCCATTCGCTTGCAGATCTCTCCCGCGCGATTTTCCGCTGCAAATTTTATTGCGTTTATTTTTTTAACATTGGAAGAGCAGCGTTTGTTCAGTTTAACGGATCGATTGTTGAGGCAGAGATCTCTGTACGCGAATTGGGTGCAACAACATGCGCTAAAACAACAATTAGTAGCGATGACGACAATGATAATGCTATGAATAAATAAAATATAAAAATGACGAGATCGTAAACGTGTCGGCGCTCTGATGGAAATATTTTGCTGAAAGTACTGCGAGACCGATGGTAACTGAAACGAAAATGTTTATGGAAAAATTACTGTATTCATCTCAACATGAATATTCACAATTATTAATTCAATGCAATACTGTGAAATAATAAGGAAAGTTGAAGTAGACACTATTAAAAATAATAAAAAATTGCGAAACATGAAATTTATGGAATTTCATTAAAAACTGTGTTTTCAATGAAAAATTGCTGGGAAATCATCTTTACTGGAATAATGACGAGATGGCGATAAAACGAAATTAATTGAGAGAGAGAGAGAGAGGGGGATTTTCAAATACGTTTCAGCAAAACTTCATTGTATTTTCAGCAAGATATTTCCACCAGGATCGTTAATGGCGGAAGCAGCCCGAACAGCGGGTTTAATAGCGGTGACAGTAGCAATTAGCTGCGGTGAAAGTACGATCACACATTCTAGCTTCGAATTAGTTACACAGCTACACGTTACACATTCATTATTCATCAAAAGCTACATGCGAACACATGTTGTATTAGTAAGCGTTCTCGATGGAGAGAGAGAGAGAGACTGGGGGACTTTGTGTCCGGAAGCAACGTTTTTGAAAGGTCGTCTACTCTGGGGCGCCGCCGCAAAACACAAATCGGATAGCCGTAGCTTCAATGGGATGACGAAACTCAGTGGAAAATGGTATGACGCATCTCAAAAAGCTCTTGACATGTCTTTAACGTTTGTAACACCCTGACGTGATTATGTTTAAACGAACTTACGGCTTCCTGCGTAATTAGTCATGAAACAAGAAAAGATCAGACGTTCGTTAAAATTGTTAAACAGTCAAGTATCTCGAGGCTCCTCGAAGGTCGCTAGTGAACCACCGTGCACTCGATCGTCGTCAATCGACAATTCAGTCGCGCACAAACGGTCAAGTATTTCGTACGAAGGTACGGAGCGAGGATGCGGAATCGATAGCGTGTGATTCGTTAGAGAAAAAAAAATTGATCGTGGAGGCGAATCGGATTGCGGCCGGATTGCCGCGGCGAGCGATCGCGAAACGGATTCGCTCGATTCGGAAAAACACGCCGCGGGGCACTTTGCCGCGGTGTAACACCGATGTAATTACAGCTCGCTCGCGCGAAAGTGAAAATCGCTCGAGACACAGCGGCGGGAGAACGGTGTAACGTCATTAAACCGTTCACCGTTAACCAAAGCTCACTCGCGCTCTACTGACCTCTCTATGAGTTTACGCATCTCCTCGGTGGTCATGCCGTCCTTGCCGCGAGCATTCACTGAAATAGAAAAACACACGGCACGATTGACACAACGATTAAACTACTACGACAACACGTAGCATGCAATTTGTGGGAAACTAACGTAAACAATTAGGATTTTTAAAAAAAGGACGAAAAAAATAGTGGACAGAAAAAACACATAGTTCGCGCGGCGAGTCTTCTTCATTCGCGACTCGCCCGCCATGCGATACGTCCGCATAATGAGCCGCCGCACGCCTAATAATGCTTAGTGCATATGAAACGAGCATCAGTAGTAGAGCTGTAATCAGAGCGAGATCGTTCCCCGAGGGGGAGCATGCCGCTGGACCTGGCGACGGGCTCGAGCGGGAAAGAGGCGAGGCCTCGCGACTATCCCGATCGGACCTCGGGATCGAGTCCCAGCCCCATGGTCTCCCCCCGCGCTCGTTCTCCGAGCTGCCGCGAATCTTTCTACTGACCGCCGTAGTTGCGGTTGACAAGCTGATCGCGATCGCACTCGGCCTCGCTGATCTCGTTGCTCTCCTTGCTGTCGTTGAAGCTCGAGTTATTCTGATCCTGATGGTTCCTCGGCGGCGGTGGGGGCGGTTCCGGCGAGCCAGACATGGGAATGTTGCGTGCCGAGCCTACGCTGCGACGTCCGACCGATCCGCGGGATCCGTAGTGATCGTAAGGCGCGCCGTACTGTGACCCGTACTGCGACCCGTACTGGTCCTCCTCGGGAGCGCAGTTAGCCGGGTCGTCGTACTCGGGTGAGAAAACGTTGTGCGTGCCGCTGCCGCCTCCCTGGGACGGTACTCGAGAGTAGCGGCCGTTTTGACGGGGCTGCGGGGAGAAATCGGCCGCGATTTCAGCAGTAGTTATTCACTGTATGCATATACTTATAAAACATTACGTATAATACACTGCAAAAGACAGGTGGAAAGTACCATAGACTGAGATCCAGAGCGGCTGTGGGCAGAAGCGTTAGTCGGATGTCCTACGGGTGGTCCCATAGTGCCAGAGTGGCCGTTTCCTGGATGGGGGAAGGTCTGGAATTGCATAGCCTTGCTCGGGTCCATTTCCTCGCGGAATCCCAATAGGTGGAAGGTGGCGTACGGGCAAATCTCATCCTCCATACCTGCAAATGGACGATCAACCAGGGTAGACTCTGTCGCTAGGGGTAGAAAATCTACGAGACATTGTTGAACGATAAAGATTGCTATAAAGATCGATTGTGGCGCGAAAACTTTATTCCTACTCCAACAATTCCTGAGTTCAGCTTCAGGTCGAGAATGGAATCGAAAAAACAATTTTTTTTCCCCCCCGTAAGCAATCCTTCCCAGTATTGATTCTACATGCGTCTTCTACCCAGATTTGAGCAAAGAGCGAAGACATTACTTTTACTCACTTTAACGTTTCTTCTTTCCTCGATTCTCATTCTATGTTAAATCGTTAAATCTTCAGTAACTGATCATGCGAATTAAAAATGTATTTAAGTAAACTCGAGTCCATTGACGCCCGATCGTCGTATCGATTAATTACATTGTATGTAACAAAAGAAATGTCATTCTTCAATTAATTTGCTAACTTAAATTTTATTTATCCATTCGATCCAAGATGTTGAAAATTCCTCCTACTCCTGAGAATCTTAAAAATCGATACGATGATAACGGGCATAGAAACCTCTGTCTAAGGTTTTTGCCTTTTGGAAAGACAACGAGTAAATGAACGTAATTCCCCCCTATGTGATTCGTGTTATTTGTCGGCGTGCTATGAGCGCAGGCATGCGGAAACGTGCAAACATCGAGAAACGAGAGGTGCCGTTAAAGGTTTCATGAAACGACGGGGGGGATGGGACTTACGAAGACCGGCTGGGAGATGAGCCAGCAACATCGCCGGCTGCTGCCTGCGATGATCAGTCTCGTATGGCGATCGGGCGAGCGCCCGGATGCCCCCGTTAACCAAAATTGCTATTACCAACCTCTGTGCGGCGAGAGACCGTCCGCGCTGCCCATACGTGGTGGCGGTGGGCATCTCCTGTTGGGCGCGTAGTGACTCAACTCCTCATACATGTGTCGCCTGGGATCCCACGTCGAGTGGCTCCTTAACGAGCTAGTTCCACCTATCAAACACATACTACAAAGGTCGTACGACACGCTGGCGCCTATCAAGATTCTTCGTTCCCGCCAACTAACAGCCCTGTTCTCTTTAGAGACCCTTTAGAGGATTTAGAATCTCCGGGAAGTAGGTGCTTTTGATTTTCTTTTTCAGGTAATAATTAATTCGCAAGTCGGTACAATCGACACTCGCTAGGCACCAACGGCGTGGTAAGCGCAAACAAGTAGGAATGAACGTTATATCTCCGCTGGAGGGACATACAAAACTCGATAACGTATAATAAGAACATCTTGAAGCATGGCGAACGAAAAGAGAAACTGGCAATGATTGTGTGTACGGGTTCTGTCTGGCCTGGGGATCTGTCCAACACTGATCGGGAGTCTAAAATGTTGTATGTGCGAATCTCTCGATGGATCCCTTTCTCGTGTATCCCTTGAGAAAAGATGAAAGAAGGAACTATCGTGCCGATGCGACAACAACTAGACAAGTAGTTGAAACTGGTCTAAAAGGTAAGTGTTGGCAGTGGTGGCTTACTTATAACTGTACCTCGCTTGATACGATCGCAGGTGTTGTAGTTCGAGCCGGGCACAGGTGGAAGCTTGCGATTAGGTGGCGCGATGTATCCCAGTTCGTCGCGAAGATCGGATCTGCGTTTGTCCAGGGTGGCGCCGCCAACTCCGGTCTGCTGGTAGACTACGTCGTCTAAAACGAGGACGGTCGATTCAATAAATCCCGTGCGTGCACCTCGACATTTCTGATCTTACTGCTGATGTATCACATTCATTATATGTATATGCCATCACCCACGCTTGTGAAATAAAAGGAAAACGCAGGAAGAGGGAAAATTATGAAATATTTTTGGAGAGGATGTCAAGACTAGGGTGGTCGACGCGTGGATCGATCGTCAGGAAATTATTACGACAGTATTACAAGATTATAAAATAGCGGTAGTATCTGCGACCAGCATATATGTTCAACGTTCTTCTTGATTAGTTCAAGAGAGATTTCTCAAGATTTCATTTCCCGACCAACCTCCACCGCCTCTATGCGACTTAACGAGTAAAAGTAATGAAAAAAAATTTGTATACATTGTCCCTCGTAATATTTCTCGTCGGCTGAAGAGATACCTCGCAGCCGTGTCTGTTCCGGGCCTCGAGTTCGTCTCGAGAGCGCCACGCAAATGACTACTATTCCTACTATTATGACAACGACCGTCGCGCCGACCGGCACCACCACGTTTACGTCGAGCCAGCTGGGTAACCACGGGAAGTACCGTCTCACATCCGCGGTGTTGTCATTACCGCCTTTACTTACGGGAGGTGCGATCGTGCCTGTGCGAAGGAAACAAAAAGTAGATAACGATTACCTTTATCGCTACCGTGACCCTTCCCCCTGAGAACGCAGATCACGATGACGGCAACGATTATAACGAGTATAGCTGCTACCACGGGTACGACCAGATTTAAGTTAGCCATGAAAATTTTCATCGGGTCCTCATCGTTGCCACCACCGTTCACGTCCGGCAGCTCGCGGGCCGGTGCAATGGTGCCTGGAACAGAAAACGCGTTTCGGCGACCGTTCAATCCAGCCACCATTGGCACCGGCTGCGAGGCGTCGCTGTGCGTCGCACGACCGCCCGTACTCACCGCCAGTCACCGTCAGAGTCGCGAATTCGTACTCGGCCACGGCGAAACCGGCATTGTTGTGAGCCGTGACGCGCAAATGGTACCAGCTAGCGGGGTCCAGATCCAACACCACGAAATTACCGCCCGGCTTGACGTTGTTCGAGACCTGGTTCCATTCCTGCTGCATCCTGAAGAATGCGAAACGCGCGCCGTTAACATATCGATCTCGATATCAGATTGGACGTTCGCCGTTGTATTATCTTTTCGTCTTACTTCTTCTTGTGTTCAACAACGAAGTACAACATCGGGCAGCCACCGTCCGACCAGGCGCTCAAGTGCAGAGTGATGCTATTCGTGGATACCTCGATGAACCTCGCCGCTTCGGGGATAATCGGTTTGGAGCCCTTTGTGCGCGTGTTCAGGATGTCCGAAGGATCGCCGATTCCAATTCTGCAAAAGACTCTTATGTATACAAAACGTTTCAATGCAACAATCACTTTACATTTCTGACGATAAAGTTACCCGTTGTAAGCTGTGACGTAGATCTGATATCGGGAGCCGCACCACAGATTCTCCAGAGTATATTTCTGTGCTGTGGAGCTGATCTGAACGGTTTCCCAGTCGCCGAACTCGGGTTTGTAGTGGATGGTGTAGCCATGAATCGGTGCATTATCGGTGGGATGAGGGCGCAACTTCATCGTTAAAGAGTTGGTGGTAGTGGCGGTAAGGGTGACCTGCGGCGAGTGCGGAGGAGCTGCGAAAATATAACGTTAATTTTAATATGAACGATATGCTGAAATCGGTAAATACCCAGATAACAATCTTGCGCGTAAATTTTATTTGTCTTATGCATGCAAACTTGTATGAGATTTGCCCGAGTTTTGCTCGTAAGATATGTTTAGTCTGTGCTTTTGCACGCAAGTGATAAGCTCATGTATCAATATATAATTTTGTGCGCAAATATCCAACAACTCATTTACAAAAATGACTCAACAACGCAAGCAAAATCCTATTTCAGTGCGTCGTCATAATGCTAGATGTTTGCGCGCAAAATGTTTCCATGTGCCAAAATATTTATGTACCGTGTACGACCAGCTGATGAGTCACGGTGTCGTGTCCAAAGGAGTTTTCCACGTAACAAGAATATTCCCCAGCGTCCGCGCGGTCGACTTCCTTGATGAACAGCGATCCCTCGGGTAATTGTCTCAGTCGGTCGCTCGGTTGAAGAGTAGCGCCTCGTACCTTCCATGTCACTTCCGGTGCGGGCACGCCGACAGTGAGACACGGCAGCTTGACGTCTTCTTTGTATGTTGCGGTGAACTTGTCGTCGAACGATGCAATCTTTGCCGGTACTGTACGCGTCAAATATAAAACACTTAGAACCCTTTTTCATTTATAATAAGCCATGAAACTTGTAACTGGCTCGCCGATGCAATTTCTCGCAATGAAAGTACAAATTTTAAGCGAACTACGAAATAAGAAATTACCTCGAACACTTGGTCCCAAGGTCACAATTTTGGAAGCTTCACCTTCGCCAATATTTGTACTAGCGGTCACCCAGAATTCATATCTGAGCTGTTTGTCTAATCCAGACGCTTCGTGAGTTAGTTGGTTCGGCGGTACTTTCTGGCTAGTCGGCTCCTCTGCGTTATCCGCTTTTGTGTAAACGGTATATTGAGAAATAATTCCGTTAGGCTGGCTGGGTGGACGCCATGAGATAAGAATGGATTCCGAAGACATGACTAGTGCTTTGATAGCGATGGGAGCTTCGGGCGCTGAAAGTAGACACGAAGCATGTAGTACTCCGACAAAAATGTGTTTTATACATTGAACAGTCTCCTAATTACCATCTTGCTCGGTCTGGCAGTGAATCGGTGCGGACTTAACGCCGTCTCCGCCGGATGTGAAAGCTAGAACCTGCATGCTGTAGTTTGTGTATTTCTTGAGGCCGTGCAAAATGGTCTCGCTGGAAGACGTAATCTTGGTGTCCTTCGTATTCTCGTCGTACCATGTGTCGGACGGTCCGTAGATGACCTAAAGCAAATATTTAAAGATGCTACTGCAAAAGGTTTTATGCCTCCTTATCGAGTCGCGTTTTTACTAACTTTGTAGCCGGTGATAACGCCGTTGGCCGCGCTCAGTGGCGGCGACACCCAGGACACTCTGATAGTCTGAGAGGTGAGGGTTGTGCAAGTAGTGTCATGAGGTGGTTGCTCGGGCACGCCTTCTGCGGTGTGCTGCCTGCGTTCCTCGCTCATCGGTCCGGAGCCGACCTTGTTGAATGCCTGAACGACCACGCCGTACTGAGTGTAGGTCTTGAGGTTCGCGATCTGCAAGTGGTGCTCCTTTATGTCTTCCTTGGAGAAATCGACGGTCTCAAACATGTACGGCTTGTCCGACGACTGTCTGTATCCAACGTAGTAGCCGAGAATCTCGCCGTTCCAGTCCTCGCGCGGGGGCGGTTTCCATGTTACCTGACGGAATTTACACTTATTGCACGTAATCCACGTATATCACGAAGCGATCACAACGCAATTGTTCCACTCGTTACCTTGAGCGTGTGCTGATCGAGAGCGTCCACTTTAATGGAGGTTGGCGGGCCAGTAGGTGCTTCCTCAGCGGTGATAATAGTGACCGTGTCAGACGGATCGGACGTACCAATTTCGTTCTCGGCGACGATTCGAAGATGGTAGGTGGTCGCGGGTCTCAGATTGTACACTCCGGCTACGTTCTGTTGCGAGCCAGGCACGAGCACACGGTCGATATCAGTCTCCCAGGAACCCTTGCTGATCTTGTACTCGATAACGTATCGTTTGATCGGGCTATTTCCGTCATAAGGTGCAGCCCACGATAATTGCACCGAACGCCCTGATTTATCCAACACTTTGAGACCATAAGGAACTTCCGGCACCTCTAAAAAAAAAACATACAAATCAGATCTTGAAAAACTTATTGTCGATTTATCAGTAACAAGTTATGTATAAGAACCAACCTTGTACGATCATGTTAATGCTGGTGTCATCGCTGCCAAAGGCATTCGTGGCTACGCAAGTGAACAGGGCGGAATCACTCCTTTCGGTTCGTTTGATGCTCAGATCGGACAATACTCCGTTGGCCAAGATTTCTTCGCGAATGGTATAACGAGGATCGCTCTTCGTGTCCAATCTCTTGTTGTTCATGTTCCATAAAATGCCGATTGGTTTCTCCCCTTGCGCCTCGCACTGCAATACGGCCGGTTCTCCACGACGAGCGGTCTGGTTTCTCAGTTTGATTTCAAATTGCGGAGGGGCTGAGAAGATATTGCAAAAGGGTGATACAAAGCGCAACAGGAATTACGGCAAAATGCAACAACGATTGAACGTGAAATACCTTGAACCGAAATAAGAATGACAGCCGATAACCCTGATCCAATGCCGTTAACTGCCTCGCAAAGGTAGTAGCCTTCATTCGTCTTTTGTATGTTGTTAATAGAGAGGGTGCCATCTTCCACGCTAATGTCAGGGTTGCTCAACTTCAAGTCGGTATAATCTCCCGGCGTGTCCCCTGCGAGACGGAACAGACGGCGTATACTTGGCGCACGCAAGTAGAAAGGTTCGTTATTTGTCGGACTGCGTTTGCAAGTGCACTCACCAGCAGCTCTCTTCCACGTGACCTGAGGCTTGGGGAACCCGTCGGCTTTGCATTCCACTCGTGCATCGGATCCTTGAGCAAATGCCTTATCGGTAGGTTCCAGGATCCAACGAGGAGGTACTATTGCAGAATAAACAGATTAGCCGTAGTGCACTTTTGCGCATACGGGATTGTGCGGTATCCAGGAGCCAGTCGCTTGAAAACTCGAGTCGTTCACTTTTTAGAAATCTTGGAACTCGCTATTTGCAATGACAAAATTCTTTATTGGGTTGATAAGACGGTACCGATTTACACTTATTTAGTTTTATTTAAATAGGCAACTGTAATGTATAATTATACTAGTGTATTTACGATTGCCTTCCTCAAGTTCCATGAAATCTAAAGTAATAACAATAAAAAGAAATCGAACGAAAAAAATGAATTTTTGAATTTTCTCAAAATTAAAAGTGTTTGTTCGTGTTTAAAGTAACACAAACGAAGTTGCCGATTGACAATTATATATTGGATGTTAAATATTTCTAATGCTATTAAAATCGACGAAGACTCGAATTGTGGCAATTTTATCGCATGCAGAATAGAACGCGACACGCTCCTGCTACTGCGATGAATAGAATGTACACGGCATGCGGGATTCTGATATGATTATGCGGGTGTCTAATGCATGGAACAGAGAGATAGAAAGTGAAAAAGAGAGGAGATGCATGCAGAAAGAGAAAGAGAGAGAGAAAGAAAGAGAGAGAGAGATAGAGTGTGAGACTACGATTCAGCTCTGAAGGAGCTCAACGACGAGCATGCACGAGAAGCGCTATCGAATTTGTTACTCGAGCACGGTGCACCATGCTGTACCGCATTTACGAACAATACTCGATTACGCTCGTTCAAGTGATAATCGCATGCATATTTAAGTGTCTACTACGCTACATACGCGTCTACATCTACAAAATGAACAAGGCAAGATGTGTGGTGAGAGAGAGAGAGAGAGAGGTGATGAGGGGGTCGAGGAGGGGCGTGTTTGGGGGACTTCATTCGTGGATGTAGATGAATTCATCGTGGGGGAAGTGAATTCTGAGATATGGTTGGATGGTCGGTCGGTCATCTTAGCACAAGGACGCGTTTCAGCGCGAATGGGGGGGTACGGTGAGGTATAAATCGACACTCGAACGTACACGAGACGGACAGATATGCAACTTGCGTGTGAGACCTACGCAATCCTGCGATCGCAAAGTGGCATTTAGATTGTCTGTGCGCTACGGCGGCGGAAGCGGCGAACGCGTTCTCTTCGTCGAAGGATGTAGAAACGCGATGAGATTCGCGTGCGAAAGGGAAGGTACATCCTGAGCGTCGCGTTACTTCGCCGCGGGGATGATCGAAGCCAACGTAAAAAGTCGCAGAAGAGCGGCTGACGATGAGAGCAAGATAACGAGGCGGCAAAATAAACGAGGGAAGGCCAACGGCTCGGCAAAAGCTATCGTTTCTCGAAGCACGAGGGAATTCGGAATTGATCTTTGCTCGTTCGCTCGCTTGAAAGACCGGCGTCATACACAGTAAAGAGGAAATTACAGCAGTAAGAAGTAAATATAGAGAGAGAGGCAGAGAAAGAGAGAGAGAGAGAGAGAGAGAGAGAGAGAGAGAGAGAGAGAGAGGCAGAAAGAAACAGAGTTAGAAAGTGTGAAGAAAAGTGGCAAGACAGCGAGAGAAAGAGTATACGCGCGAAGAAGGTCGTCACCGGCGACGAAAGCAACGCTCTGTACAAGTTGGGCTGAGCGCGAGCTCCAGCCAACCAAATATGAAATGTTTCCAGAAAGCTTTTCGCCAACAGGGGGGGGGGGGCGGGGGAAAAAACACACGATCAGCGTCACAGCAACGATGAATAAGATGCAACCAATCAAGCCTGCACTCAAATACTCGCGCGGGACCTGCGCGGCCGCGGCGTTTCTTAATTTTTTTTTTCTTATTTTATTTTCATTCCGAAACTTCGCTCAACCATCATTATCAACGTCATGTCATTCTCAGTGCTCCGTTCTTTACTCTGGACCTAACCGTGGACTCGTAAGGTTGCCTCGTGGATCACTCTGCCCGACGGATTACTAGCGACACACGCGTAACGTCCGCCGTGCTCCGGTGTTACCGGCTCGATCAGTAGTATACTCGTCCGTGGGCCGAGTTTCCCGACGCTGAATCCCATGAACTGCGACAACGGTTCGCCCTCGTGGGTCCAGGCGATCTCGATCGGCGTGTCGCCTATCGGCACCATGCATGCCAATTGGGCGGCCTGCCCGGCATAGATCGGTCGGTCTCCAAAATCGAACGGACTGATCCGTGGCAGGACTGCAACGGAACCGGCAGATAGACCCATGCACCCGTAACGATCCTCCGATTTCCCCGGGATTTCTTCGCGACCGACACGAACAATCGCGTCGCGCGGATCGTCCGTAGTCGTTCGTTTCGTCGTTTTTCTGCAATACGCTCTTCCGTCCGAGAATTTAACGTCGCCTCTCCTTTCCATCCGGCGTGCCGTTATACTCTCCGTGGATCGCACGACAAATAATCGGTTGCACTAAACTAATTACATGGAATAATCCGAGAGTCGGCAGCCCTCCGATCGAATCGACTGATGAGATAACGCTTCGGGAACCGAGCTGTCGCGATGAGAAAAGGGATGCGGAGTGACAGAGAATGAGAGACAGTTCTGGGCCGGGAGAGAATGGGAGAGACACGGCTCATCTCGTAGCAATCGACGCCTCGTATTCGATTCAAACAGTCGTGGGCACAAACTACTCTCGCCTATGCGAATCAGCTAAACGGTTTAACCTCGTTACTAAGGAAGAGAACTCTCTATAGACAGAAGGGAGGAGTATGCGTCGAGCAATGCAGATTTCCAGACACATATATCTCGTAATAATATCATTACAACAATTAGGACAGACAGATTGGAGACTTTACGACTTTACGTGAAGCGGCAGCAAGGATCGTAAATCTAACATATCGAAACGCTCTACTGATATATAAATATATATATATATATATAATATAAAAATCTACAACCGAATAAAAGGGGTGAACGTACCACTGCTTTCCGCTCAAATAGTAACACGCATACAAAACGGTAGTACTCTCACTACGCGTACGCCCGTTAAACACCATCATCATGCCGCGCGGTTTCGCTTTGTGTTAGAGAAAATATATATGTATATTTTTTTTTTAAATATTTTGTTCTCTGTTTTACTGGATGCTTCTGTGATCGTGTGTTCGTTTTCTCTGTACCGTTCACTTTCAGATGGGCGCTGTGCCGAGCACTGCCCGCTGGATTATCGGCGACGCAAGCATACTCCCCGGCGTGCTCGCCCCTAACGGCGGGTATCGTCAGGGCCGAGACTCTATCCCCCAACGCGGTGATACCCACTCCGTCGCCCACCTCTAAATGGCGACCCTCGAACAACCACTTGAGCGAAATCGGTGTGTCCCCCTTCACGACCGCGCAATGGACGATTATCAGATCGCCGGAGTTGGCCTCGTCGAACGCGAACGGCTGCAGATGTGGAGCGACTGCCGGGAGATAGAGAACGGACAGAAACTAGAGACAACAGGCAATAATAGACAAAGAGAGAGAGAAAGAGACAGAGAGAAGGTGTAAGAGAGACAGAGAGAAAAGAGAGAAACACGCGGGCGAAAACGTCCCGCTTATCAAGGCGAGTCTGCGCTGCGTGAGATTTAAGACGCGATACCACCACCACTTTTCAGCCCAGTTTCCGTAATCGCAATAACCTGCACTCGTGACCGCATCCGCAAAAAATGGCAGAGATCGCAAATCTGAACTCCATCGCGCAGGGATCGGTACGAGCGCGACGGAACATTTGACCGGAAATCGATTTCGGTTAAACAAGTGTCTACGGGAAGAAGCGGCGGTCCAGGATGACGGGTGGAGAAGCTGCTTGGAGCGGGGGGGGGCGGGGCGGGGGCGGGAGCGGGAGAAATCGCAGGACTCAACGAAATATCGAGTAGATTCTTGCGGATCAGTAAGTATGCACCGTTCACAATGAGATCGGCCGAGAGCTCGTGTCTGCCGGCAAGGTTTTCCGCGACACACGTGTACGTTCCAGCATGGGTCGCCTGGACGGATCCTATGCTCAGTATGGCGCCGCGTCCGCCCAGATCCACGATCGAGATTCCGGAATGCGGCGAGATCGCATGACCGTTTAAGGTCCAACGGAGCTGCAAGGGTGGATCGCCCTCGACCACCGCGCACGGTACCGTTACTACTTGACCCGAGTTAAGCGGCTCCTCGCCGAACGAGAATGGCAATAATTTCGGAATGACTGGAAGAGAGAAAGAGAAAGAGATCAGAAAGGGAGAGAAAGAGAGTCTTGAAGCCGCAAGTCGGAGATCAGCGCAGGCGGAGTAGCACGATTGTCGAATCGACGACGGGAAGTCGTGTTATCGCGCGAAACGTCCTCGCTCCCCTTTCGTCCTCTCTTCGTTTCTTCTTCCCACCGCTTTAAGATCCGTGTTACGGCGAGCGTGTCGTTCTTGTATTGTATGACACTGTATGTTACGCGATGCTAATCAACAATCAAATCAAAAGAGAGTACAGGCATGTATAACCAAGGAAATTGAGGGGTGAGAAAAATGTCACGTTCAATAACAGCATTCGGTGACTAGAGTGACAGTGACGGGCTCTAGAGAACACAGACACATGTCGTGCTACAAGTAATATGAAAAGCGAAGAAACTCAAAGAAAATAAACAAACGACGTGGGGATAAAAATATAAAACGAGGGCGAGAGTCCTCGAGAAATCCGTGGGGGAGGGGGGGGGAGAGAATGCCGGAGGGATGGACAAATCAGACGAGGGGTAAATTCGGGCGAAAGATGGCTAAATACAGAAATGCGAGTCGCCGCCACAGACATGTCGGAAGGTGTACCATTCACGTCCAGAATGGCCGAATGGGAGACCGATCCAGCCGCGTTTGAGGCAACGCAGGTGTACTCCCCGGCGTGTCGCGCGGCTACCGATTCGATGGTCAGTTGCTTGACGCGCTTTCTCGTGTCGGACACGATCACGTCGCCGTGATAAGACTGTATGGGACGGCCGTCGAAGGTCCACGTGATCTCCAGAGGAAAATCGCCTTTGGTCACCACGCACTGCTCCGACACCAGGTCTCCGGCGTTAATGGGTTTCTCGCCGAAGGAGAACGGTGCTATCTGTGGGGAGACTGCGAGACGAATAAGAAGATAAAGTATAACGGCTCGAGAAAGACGGAATAATCGCTTGTAGTGTTTCTTGCGAAATCCGATGAGTACGCACACTTGGATTTCTCTGCTTGGAGAGTCGAGAAACGAGCAGCTTTTGCGATTTTTCTTTGAAACGGCGTGAAACGTAAGATGCGAGAGGAATAAAGCTGAAGGTTGCTTAGGTTTTTCATGACATGGATCGATATCCGAGGACCGACTCCGTTAACGACAATAGCTTTAGCGATGTGAATTTGTTGTTAGGAAGGATAGCTTTCGAAATACTTTGCGGGATAAAGTGCTGGCGGTGACACTACGTCTTGACATGCGGCTCTTTTTTTTTTTAAATACCATTGACCGATAGAGCGGCGGAACGGCTGACGGATCCGACAAGATTGCTCGCGACGCAGCTGTATTCGCCAGCATGACGGGCAGTCACAGATTCAATGGTCAGAACGGATGTCTTTTTCCCGGTATTCGTAATTATCACGTCCGGATGAGTGAGACGCGTAATAATTTCGCCATTGAGGCTCCACCGTATTTCGATTGGTAGATCACCCTTTAAAATGCTACACATTGCGGAGACTTGCTCGCCCCAATTAGCCGGTTCCTCACTGATAGAAAATGGAGCGATTTGCGGGGCGACTGAAAACAATCGCAGAAAATAAAATCAATACAACTGCATCTACAAAATATATATACATAAATCCTTTTGTTAATCGATCAAACTCGTAGAATCACACATATAGGCTTCGTATAGCTTCTTCTCCTTTAATAATCTTAGGTACGTGTCTTTTACTAAATCTTCGTGTTCGTACGATTTGTCAATTGCCAATTATACCTCACGCGACGGGACGGTTTCAGAGGGGTGCCGTGTTATCGCTGTGTTACGCGAGGATGGGAGAAGAGTTTCGTCTAGGTACGTTATGCTCGCAGGCAGAATCCCAAGCTGTATCTGTCACTCGTAGCGAGGCACTTCGCTTCATGCAATGCCAGTACCGTTCACAGCCAGGGTGGCGGAGTAACTCGTCGCTCCGGCAGCATTCGAGGCTGTGCAAGTGTACTCCCCGGCGTGTCTCGGGCTGGCGGCCTCGATTGTCAGTAGACTAACTCGCTTGCTGCTGCTTGCTATCGATATATCTCCGTAATTTTCCTTGGTGATAGGCACGCCGTTCAGCGCCCACGACACTTCGATCGGCAAGTCACCCTTCCCGACCGTGCAGACCGACGAGACCGCCTCGCCCCAATTCGCGGGCTCGTCACTGATCGAGAACGGTGCTATCTGCGGAGCGACTGAAAACGATTTTCCAAAGTATGACAGACCCATTCACAGACGGACCCGTCGAGTACGAACACCTGCGCGCGAGTAACTGCACCAGTGCACGAGGGAAAAATCGTTGCAAAGATGTTTTAGAAGATACTAAATGGAAAAAGACATTGTTCAAGTCGCAATCTAATTCGCAGTCTTGGTATCGGTTTCCATTATTATTTTGCGCACTCCTACAAGTATCTCCTACCATTTCTATGGCTATGCCTCCTTCCATATACAAATAACACGACAAATAATAGTTTCAAATTCGAGAAAGATGTAAAGATAGTCGAGCTCAGTGAGAGAATATCTGCAATGCTGTTGCTGCGAGCCGACACAACGTGATAAGATAGCGGGGCGTAAAATCTCGGCGAATGCGCGATAAGGCCAGACGACAGATAGACGCGTCTCCTCATCGTACTCCCCGGACTCGGCGAAGCGTGAGGGAACGTTGAAAAGATTGTGAGCGCGGGTGAAGAGGCTGAAAGGGATAATGAAAAGGAGGGACGGTTTTGTCTTCGCCCGGCGAAGGAAGAATAGCCGAGACGTTGTCGCGTGTATGCACGTGTATACATGCGCGCGGTGTTACCGTTCACGGCTAGAGCGGCCGTGTGGCTGGTGGCTCCGGCTTTGTTCGACGCGGTGCAAGTGTACTCGCCGGCGTGTCTAGCCGCGACAGCATCGATCGACAGGACGCTGAGACGCTTGCCCTTCGTGACAGAGAACTGATCTGTACTCTCGGCGGATATCGGCTCGCCGTTGAACGCCCAGGTAATGTCCATCGGGAAGTCACCCTTGAGGATGGAGCAGGTCGCAGAGATCGCCTCGCCCGAGTTTACCGGCTCGTCGCCGAACGTGAACGGGAAGATCTGCGGAGCAACTGCGATCGCGGATCGCGCGTGAGAAGCACGGTAAACTGACACCCCCGTCGACGTCGAAATCCCCGCGCGATTCTCTTTACGGTCTTTACGGTCCCCGCGGAACAGTCGTCGGGAGCGATCGCGGCGATCAGGAGCAAGGGGTCGTATCGTGAGATCAAGACAATGCGATGAGCGGGTTTATGATCAACTATGAATCGCAGTGATGGATTAGGCAAGTGCTGTACGACGTTTAGCTGACGTGCATGTGGTGCTTCTGGAGATGTGTAGGTACCGTTGACAACGAGGATGGTCGAGTGGCTGACGTTGCCGGCTCGGTTCGTAGCTACGCACGTGTACTCGCCCGCGTGCCTCGCGGCCACGGATTCGATGCTGAGAGCACTCATATGTTTATTTATGTTCGTGATCGTGATATCCGAGTCGTGCAGACTAATCGGTTTGCCGTTAAACGTCCAAACGATCTTTACGGGAAAATCGCCTTTCATAATGGAACACGTTGCCGAAACCATGTCACCCCAATTCGCCGGTCCGTCACTGATCGCGAAAGGCCCTATATGCGGCGCAACTATAATATTATAATAACAAACAGTCAGAGATAAATTCCACAACCGTTAGGGATCTAACTTTATCTAAACTACTAACGAATAAATATTGGATTTACAATAATTGGTAGAGTAGAGGCGTATGTCCTGCGCCCGTAGAAGCATCGTCGATTCTTTCGACGGTGCGTCGAAACTGTTCCTAATGTCGCTAAAATAGGAGGAAGGGATTATCGACGAGATTTTTCAACATCAAACTGGTAACGTTCTCCGTCGCGCTCTCGCGCGGCAGAAAGGGATTGAAGGAAATCGTGGGAGTGATAAACCGCTCTGCACATGCACGATAGGGCGAGGGTAAGAAAAAAGCTACACGAAACGCAAGACGTGGGAAGACCTTTATACCGTTCACGGCCAGTGATGCGGAATAACTCGTTCCACCAGCGACGTTGCTAGCCGTGCAGGTGTACTCCCCGACGTGGCGTGCCGTCACGGCATCGATCGTAAGCAGACTGACGCGTTTGCTGGTGCTAACTATCGATATGTCGGGATGATCTCGAGAAATTGGCTCGCCGTTGAGTGCCCACTCGATCTGGATCGGGTAATCGCCCTTCAATACCGTGCAAGTCGCGGTAATGGTGTCGCCCCAATTCGCCGGCTCCTCGCCGATCACAAACGGCATGATTTCGGGGGCAACTAGGGACGTGTCTTAATTATAAGCCCTATTCCGCCCTCGTCGAACGCTTTAAATGCCGTGTCTCGCCAGATCCGTGTACAATGCCACGTTTACTAAGCTTACAATTGTAATGGATAGCAACATCTATAACGCGTATACTCGAGTCTCTCTCCCTTCATCCTGCGATGTCACGAGCCTGTCACCTTCGTCTAGATCTGAGAATGTGAGGGAACGTGAGGACCTCTTGGGAATGAGTGTGTGAACAGTATCAGTGTCAAGCTACATGAGTGGACGACTCAGACATGCACTGTAGAATTAATAAAAACTTCGAAGAACGTCATATGGTACCATTGACGGCTAAGGAAGCGGAATAGCTTGTCCCACCGGCGGCGTTAGTGGCTACGCAAGTGTATTCTCCGGCATGGCTAGCCGTGACGGCGTCGATCGTGAGCAGGCTGACGCGTTTGCTGGTGACGATCGTTATATCGGAAAAATCGTGAGAGATCGGCTGGCCGTTGAGCGCCCACTCGATCTGTATCGGTTGATCTCCCTTCAAAATGGTGCACGTCGCGGTGACCGTCTCTCCCCAATTCGCCGGCTTCTCACTGAGTACGAAAGGCGCTATCTCCGGAGCAACTAAAGTGGATAAATGGACCGATCGTATAGCGATCTGGAAATTAATCTAATCTACTGCGAATTGCTCTGACGTAACATTGACAATCGCGAGTGCAGCAGCACACGTCCTTGCGATCTGACAACGCCTTGAAGACCGCGATTGACCATCGACGACGATTTTAGAGAGGGGGGGGGGGGGAGCGGGAAGAATAATGGCGGATAATGAACGTTGATGGGACGTGGAGGACAGATGAGAATCTCTCGGGCGAGATGTACCGTTCACGGCTAAAGTCGCTGAATAACTGGTCGCTCCGGCTTTATTCGACGCCGAGCACGTGTATTCTCCTGCGTGTCTCGCGGCCACGGACTCGATGCTGAGGATGCTATTCTTCCGCGTCGTCGCCAGGATATTAATGTCCGAACGATCCGGCCGGATCGGCTCGCCGTTTAGCGCCCACGTGATCTCGATTGGTAAATCACCCTTGAGGATGGCGCACACCACGGAAATGGAGTCGCCCCAGTTGGCTGGCTCCTCGGCGATAGCGAACGGCGCGATTTGCGGTGCGACTGAAACGGGTTCTACGTGTTTTTTTCCCCCTCTCTCTTTGTTTTCTGTGCAAACCGTCAATCATCTTGACAACGTAATTACCTGACGAGGCGAGACTAGAGAAAGATTTGAAGAGGAAGAGGAAATGAATAGAGTTGTCAGAATAGCTGCCGTTGTTGCCGTTACTCTTGCCATTAGACGTCCGATTATGCGCGCGAGTCTTCGATCGGTGAGGAACGGGAGGGGAGAACAAGGGGGGGAAGAACGATTCCAAGACCAACATTGTTTTCTAACGATTATCGTAGATACCGTTGACTGTCAACTCCGCGGAATAAGTGGTTGCGCCGGCAGCATTGGAGGCAACGCAAGTGTAAGTGCCCGCGTGACTCGGGCTCGCAGAATCTATGGCCAGCAGGCTGTTCCTCTTGGTAGTGGTCACGGATATTCGATGATTCTCCTCGATAGGCATCCCGTTTAACGCCCATGTAATCTCTAGCGGGATGTCCCCGTTAACCACTGTACAGACCGCCGAGACGGAGTCACCCCAATTCACCGCCCTGTCGGCCATTTCGAAAGGAGCGATGCGCGGCGGTACTGTCAAGGTCACAGAAAAGCTACTTCACACCAGACCGGGAAATAACGCGCGCGCGCGTGCGAGAGAGAACACGAAAATTGCGGAACGTGAAAATCCGGGCCGTCCGGGCTCTTTCACGATCCTCTTTTTGAAATGCAATTTGCCGGAGAGCTTGCCCCGATGTAGACCAATGAAGGAATATCAATTGATATTTTTACTTCAACTACCGATCGTTGTCCGTCACATCTCAAAGCTGCGGGGGCGCATTACCGTACACGCAATATTTTCTGGGTGCCACAAAGCGCTGAGAGAGAGAAGCGTAACCCGGGTATTCCGTGCGTCCAACCAACCACCCAACCGTCATTGATTCAAACTGGATAAGCGTACCGTTCACCGAAAGAACCGAAGAGTGGGTAGCGGTTCCGGCCGTGTTGCTCGCAGTGCACGAGTACTCGCCCGCGTGTCTTGCGGCTACCGATTCGATCGTCAGTTGGCTGGCCCGTTTCCTACTCCTGCTTATCACTATGTCGGGATTGTCGTAATTGTGCTCGTCGAATGCGCCATTCGCGGTGTCGATCGCACGCCCGTTAAACGACCAGATTATGTCGATAGGCAGGTCGCCTTTTATCACGGCGCATTGAACGGTCGCCATCTCACCCGCATTGGCAGCTTCGTCACCGAAGGTGAAAGGCGCCAGTTGCGGTGCGACTGTAACCGCGAAGGGCACACTCGTGAATCACACGTGGGAGCTTCCGGAGTGGCACCTGAACACTCGCGGCAAGATAACGGGAAACGTTCGCCGAGTCAAACTCAGAATCAAATTGGACGATTCATATAAAACAGCTCTTTTGTATCTTCAGAGGGGAAGTTCGGGAAGGGATGAGGGACGACACTTCAATAGAGGACATCGAACAACATTGTAACGATACATTATATAAAGCGATACGGGAAAGAAGACTCAAATGAAAAGAGAGAACAAAAGGGAAAAAAAAAGATACATGGGCCATCGTTTCGCTGTCACTGCGGGATGGACCGTATATCGTCGTCTCTGACGATAATCTCGCTGCTGTGGTACTTTATGTCGCGCAGGATTATCGTTTCGACGACGACAGTGAGCGCGAAGTGCGGTGATTACTCAATTGATATATTACTGCGGAGACACAAGAAGTTACAAAAGAATATAACGAAACTGTATATATACAGGTGTGAGGCAGTAAGTTTCTTTTTATATATACGAGCGCGGTACCGTTCACCGAGAGTACAGCGGTGTGACTGTCGGATCCGGCGGCATTGGTCGCAGTACATTTGTATCTTCCAGCATGTCTCGCCGCCACTCGGTCGATGCTCAAGAAGCTGACCCTCTTATTGGTCGCGATATTAACGTCCGGCCGACTCGAGTCGATCGGGATGTCGTCGAAGGTCCACATCAATTTTACGGGGAAGTCGCCCTTGACGATCGTGCAAGAGACCGACAGCATCTCGCCGGAGTTGAGAGGATCGTCGCCGAAGGAAAACTGAAGGATCTGTGGCGCGACTGCGCGAACGACACGGCAGCACAGACGGGGAGGATGTAACGAAAGACAGAAAATGTGAAAGTGACTGATGTAAGGATAACAAATGGTACATTTTCCTGTACAAGCGAAAGTTATGGGAGCCAAACATTTTTGGCACCTGTTTAGTAACACAACGAAAGAGAAGGACGAAATAAAAGTATCGGTAGAATTTTTATGTTATTAGATTGTTAGTAATATTTGTGACAGGAAAACATTATTGATTAATGGTGTAAAAGAGGCTGTGTGTTCGTGTCTGTAAATGTTTAGTGATCAGCTACGAGACAATCGATCTTGAATGATGCTTCAGGAAAATAAGGAAGATGCATGAGATAGACACGGGACGAACATTCATTTCTTCCGTGATAATCGATTGCATGTACCGTTTACAGCCAGATGAGCCGTATGTGTCGTGGCACCAACGCGATTGGACGCAGTACAGGTATAATCGCCGGCGTGTCGGGCCGCGACTGATTCGATAGTTAAGACGCTGTTCTTTCGGTTCGTGCTGCCTACTATTACGTCGGAATCGTGACTGTCAATCGGCGTTCCGTTAAAAGTCCAAGTTATCTCGATAGGCTGGTCGCCCTTCGTGACGGAACAGGTGACTGAGACCAGCTCGCCCCAGCTGGCCGGCTCATCCCCGAAAGCGAAAGGCAGTATTTGCGGGGCAACTGGAAAGAGCGACTGGGAGAAACGAGACAAGAAAGAGCATCGGTTCGTGATGCAACGTATCGGGGGATCCCCGTGAGCGCGTAATTCGGAAGCACTTTAACGTGTCTCGATTATGACGTCCGTCTCAGCCAAATGCGACACAGACCGCTGGAAGATGAAGTTGGTATGGCGGCGGAATATGTATCTTGTGTTATCGTCAAGAGATCTTTCGGCAAGGACTCGGTGTGGGTAACTCGATGGATGGGGGGTACTTGGGGTTCGTGACGATAAATTATGTACAGCGAGTCTATTGCAACGGGACTCGTGCGGAGTGGATTAGGGTCATACCGTTGACAGTCAAGGTTGTCGACCGACTGACGGAACCAGCCAGATTCGACGCGGAACAGGCGTACTCTCCGGCGTGGCGTGCCGAGACGCCGTCGATGCTGAGGGTGCTCAAGTGCTTGCTGATTCTGGTGATCGTGATACCCGTGTCTTTCGACGCGTCGATCGGTACGCCGTCGAACGACCACGATATCTCCATGGGCATGTCGCCCTTCAGGATCGAGCAGGGCACGGACACGGAGTCTCCCCAATTGGCGATCTCGGCATTGAAAGCGATTGGTAGAAGCTGCGGCCCGACTATAACGGTGTCGTCAAATAAAAGAACATGCTTCATTACCGAAAAGGATGCAGCGGTGTCTGCGAGATCGTGGATTACTCTCGTGGTGACTCTAACAGACGCCTGTGCGTTAGTCAACTACCCATCGAACGGTCGCATCAAAGCTTTCGGAGGATTCAAGTAGGCAGAGGATCCAACAACATCGACGCGGAGGAGGCGTGACAAACGGGGAAGGGGAACAACTATTGTGCTATTTGCATGGTGTCTGTGTGCAGGGGACGAGATAAAAGGTGACAAAACGCAACTGAAGAATGAAAAAGACTGTGTTCTCTAGGAACAGATAATCCCGAACCATTGACGGTGAGGACGGTCGAGTGGGACGCCGTTCCAGCCGCGTTTTCGGCGGTACAAACGTACTCCCCCGCGTGTCTCGCGGTGATGACCGAGATCATAAGCATGCTAACGCGATCCGCGACCTTCTTCGCGAGTACGCCGGAGGAACCGCCCATCTCTTCTCCGGGATAGCTCCAACGTATGTTCAATGGCAGGTCGCCGCTCGACACGATACACTGCAGATTCGCAAATTCCCCGGCGTTCATCGGTAGCTTCGTGAACGCGAACTCCTGAACGACCGGCGGCACTGAAGATGGAGGAGCGATGTATGGGTTGTGTACGATTATACGCGTCCTGCGTCAATGTGCCACGCTCGTGGATATCATAGACATGTTACGTTCAATCTCGAGCTTCAGCCGAACTATTGCGACTGTGCGACTCTCGCAACGAAGACGTACGATTTTCTATCTCAATTAACGGAACGCTGAAGTCTCATTTCTTTCTCCTAGATATGCAAACTCGATATTAATGCCGCGGAAATCTCACCAAGAAACAATGCCTATAACACGCACGGACGCATGACATTTGTTGCTACGCGAGACGGTCGCGCGATGGGAGAAGAGATCTGAATTGAAAACAAGCGCATCGGAATTTTCTTACTAACGATTCAATCGGCCACCGCCATACCAACTCCCAGGCTTTCCGCGAATGCGTGTCCTCACTGTGGATCGACGTACGTTTGCACTACGTTATTAAGTGGCCGTCAACGGGATCGTCCGCATGCGTTTCCGAATCCGTGCCCGTGTCCTACAGTCGCACCCTTTAGAATCTACGACACGTTCCCTACACGCGTGAACGACACCCTCGATAAGCAATTCGCCGGTACCTCCGGCACGGTATCACAGTCAATGTGGGACAGTGCGACATAATAAAGTTTAGTGGTGGCTATATAACAGACACGACAATCCGCTGTAAAGAGAGTAGCTGCAAATAAACGTTTACTATTCTAATATTATCATAGTTATAACATCTATCTCGCTGATCGGTCACTTTGTTGGCTGCAAATATAAATATATCCTATGTTTTCGCAATTATCGAGGAGACACGTTTAACATATAATTAATTACTAATGGAACTTTGATTAATCGTTTCGCGCATATTTCTGCATATATTATATTATTTATGCTAAATATATTTAGGATGATTATATTAACGATAGGGGATAAATTTCTCTTTTATTCTCAAAAATATTCTACGTTACGTTAGAATTTTCATCACAGTATTAAACAAATTTTTCATTAAAGCTCAATTCTCTTCAATGTGCAAAAATTCTTTAACTTTCAAGATATCGAACTTTATAATGCATTGAATAAAGAAGTTGTTTATTATAAGGATTAATTTATCTGTTATAAAATTTTTATGTCACATTATGCGAGGGAATGCTAAGAAAGTAAAATGTCGAACTTACCCATGACTTGAACTTCCAGTGTTCCACGTGCGCTGTAACCTTGTGCATTGCGTGCCACGCAAGTGTAGGTCGCCTGGTCGCTCATTCGCTCGACATTCTCGATGATGAGTGTGCCATTGGGGAAGACCTTTTGCTTTCGATTGATCGGCAGGACCCTGGTGTCTCGTTCCCAGACGATGCTTTCGATCGGGTATCCAGCAACGGGGCAAGTGACACGCAAAGTTTCCCCAGCAACGATGGCCTTCTTGTCCATGTGACGAATGAACGGCAAACCATAAACGTTGAGACGGGCAGAATGCTCGGCAGCTCCAACCTGTAACAAAACGCATTGCACAGATATAGAAGCACGTTCTCGGCAGATTTAAATTGACGAAGAGATTTATTGATAGAGAAAGAATGATATAATATATAAAAAATAGATTACACGTTTGTTTATGAATAACTGATAAATAAAGTTAAAATAAGAAATGTCTATATATTTTTCTCATTAAAACGAAAAAACCAACCTTTGACGCAGCAATGCACTTGTAGAGACCGCCGTCATTGGTATGAATGCTCGAAATATTCAGATGCGACACGACATCACCATTGACCGTGACGTATTGTCCCACTTGCAGTCTCTCGGTGTTCGACAACCGTTTTCCATCGAGTTCCCAGGTAATTTCGGGGGTGGGATTCCCGCTGGCAACACACTTCAAAAACATGCTCGGTCCTGGCTGAAGGGTCTCTTCGGCGAAAGCTTGACGGATTTGCGGAGGCTCGACTGTCGATAATCAAAGAGACGAAAAGATAATTCCATTGACAGTCATAGCGTTACCTTTTATATTCGCACCGGTTCTTCTAATTAATGAGTTCATATTCATTTACGAATGTCTCACTTCAACAAGAATTAGATACAGTGATTTGTACCAAAAAAACTTGTTTCATTAATTCGTGAAAAACTTTATTTCACGAAATATAAAGTTTCAATTAAGTTAATTACAGAGATGTAGTAAATTAACATTGTTACAATTGCTAAAAATTCTCACGAATTTAATGAAATAAGCGGAGAAAAGTCTAATGAAAATTAAAAACTCACATCTTCCACCAAGTTTTAATTCTGCCGTTGCCTGCGCGCTTTCCTGATCATTTCTAACGAAGCATTGGTACATCCCCTTGTCCTCCTTCTTCACACTCTCAATCCTCAGCACGCGATCTTCCAATCCAAGGGGCTTTCCATCCTTGAGCCAGGAGATAGTTTTGATCGGGTTGCCTTGGACGGTGCAGGTGAAGGTCGCCGGTCTTCCAAAGTCGATGGTCTGCGTACTCGGCTCGATCTCCGCCGTCAGAGGCGCCGTAACGGTCAAAACGGTCTCCACGCTCTCGCCACCGACGGAATTGTTGACGATGCAAAGATATTTACCGGAATCTTCGACTCGGGCTTCACGGATGATCAGAGTGCCGCTAACCTGGCGTACGCGCTCATTCAGCTGGACCGGCTGACGCCTCGACGTGCCCTCGATGAACTTGTACCATCTGAAACGAGAGGATAAAAAAAACTGCCGATTTTCGCGCCAAAGCCGGAACGAGGGCCGCTCGTTCCGTACCTTTATGCTTATACAAGTAAAGAATTTATATCGCAAAATGGAACAAGAATATATCAATTCTATTCATTTAATCAGTTTTACTTTTTACCGTGAATTGCTCATACATAAAATTCTTATGCAAAACATTCTTTATGCGGGAGTACTTTCTTGCTATCTTTGCTGTAACAAGTGGCCTATACAAAGCTGTAGCAGGATAAGAATGAGACACGAGACTGCGAATTTGTATAAATTGGATAGCGGACAACACCGTTTGCTCCATTCTACGCTACTATGCCTTAAATTCTATACACGGGGCTTTGGGCGTCTCTGGGCACGGCCTTCCGTTTCTTCCACCGATCTGTCGGTGTCACATCTCTCACGCGAAATAATTTCACACAAGAACAAAATCACAATTCAAGAATAAAACAAGACAAGTTTCTACTGTAGCCTCACGATCGGGAAGCGATGCAGGCGGGGCGCAACAGAAGAATAAAGACAATGGCGACGACAAAAGCAAAAGAATATGTAAAATGGTATTCGCGTGTCGATCCTCGGCGCGATCAAGTCCCTAAGGGAGAAGGTGAGGGGCGATTGCAGCGTGAAAGCAAGTACGAACGATTATACTCGATTCGTGATACGCGATCGTTCGCAACGGCGCTCGTCGCTGATTAGCCTAGGCAGGAGGAGTGTAAAAAAGAAACGTCAATAATTCACAATAAAATGACGTAACCAAGCGATCGCAGCAGCAGTTTTTTTTTATGTGGCTGTTGGAGGCAGGTGCTAGAGTGCAGGGTCACTTTCATACTTTTCTAAGCAACAATATCTCTCACACGTAACAATGTATGTCGCGATATAAAGTCACTTGAAAATTCCTTCTCCAGCATTGATTAGCCAATTCCAGAACCGAGGATTGCGAGATATTGCCGAGTGTACAATCACAAATGGTGGCGGATGGTGGAAAGGCGGGGTCGGGCAGGGAGCAAAAATGGTGGTGGTGAACTGGCGGTACGTTTAATGGCGATGGTGCAAATGGACGACGTGAAAAAACGTTAAGGCTCGATCCTCCTCAGTCACTCACACACGCCCAACGTGTACATGAACGAGCGATCCACTTGTTTACCTTTTCTCTTGAACAAGTGAGAGAGAGAGAGGGTGGGGAATGAATTAATTACGAGCGGATGAACGGAGGCACGAGAAGGTGGCAAGGACTTACCAGCCAAATATTGTGGGACTTATTTGGAGGTGTGCAGGTGTAGGGCAACATTGACCGCCCCATTGATCGGGTGACGCCCTCTCGGACCACCCGGATCAGCACCGAGGATACCGGGGGAGCAGAGGGCCCGCATCCTTTTCGAGGTCGCGCTTCCGTCACCTATCTCGAGGGTTGAGGGGAGGATCCAGTTGGCACTGAAAACCAACACGTCCGATTGGCCCCGGATCAGGGATATACATTTCGTCATTAGCACTATCGTGTGACTCGTGTAATATCGTGTTGTTTAGTTTACGTTATTCGGAATTCGAAAGGCCATCGAAATCATTGAGTCGTCGCATGAGAATCGGGAGCATCAGCTTTTTTTCAGCCCCTCTTCCAAGCTCTGCTCTAATCTACGCTCTCTCTCGGTTTCTCTCCCTCTCCTCCTCCTCCTCCTCATCCTCCTTCTCCTCCTCCTCCTCCTCCTTCTCTACGTTCTCTACACTCTTTCGCTCACGTTCTGTACCGGGTCTTAAAAATATACTTGTATATTTCCTCCCTGGATTTCACAACGTTATCCTATCTGTTTATGTTAAAAAAAAAATCGTGTCCGTTCTTTCTCTTTAATTGCCCCTGTCGAATCTTACGGTACCGCCACCCGACACGGGGTAGAGGGTAAGGATGGAAAATATTAAAAGTGAATACAGGATCTGTGCCCCGCGGAGCGTGAGACTACATCCAAATCAGGGAGAAGAGAGATCTATACGGAGGAGTGTACCTAGTTATCGGGGCAGGAAAGCCTTGTGCCGCACACGCCAGCGCCAGAGACTCGCCCTCTACCCCGCGGTACTTAAGGCCGTCACCAGTCGCCTTTGGGGCGGTACGACCAGACGGCTCTGAAATAAATAGATCGCCCAAAGTGTCAGAGCTTTGTCTCTCCTCGTAACGTTTCGATTCCACCCTATTTCTTAATTGCACTCCGGAAACGGTGTGCGACGTTTGGATTTAAGCGACTAAGAGTTTCATTATATACATACCCTATCGCCATTGCGCTCGTTCTGGCTTAAGTCGATAGAATTTTTGCATGCAATCTACTCACCTGACTACGGGTGCCAATCTTGCCAGATGGTGAACGATTTCGAATGCAATGTCGCAATGTGTTTACGTCCGATTATTTATTGCATGACGCTCGTATCTGAGCAAAAAGTATCTAAATAATATAATGTAATGTCTCCGAAGTTTCTTTCAAGTTTGCATTGCGCTTATTCGGATGCCAAACACAAGCGTCACGCGGTAAATGTTGAACGTAAGCTCGTTATTAGCTGAATTCGCGAAATTGTTGACTCACGAACTCCTTAACTTGCGAAATAATGCGCTATGCCCATCTGTGACTCTCACTCTCTATCGCTCATCGAGAACATTCTCACGCGGGCAGTCTACGTATTTTAATCCGTTCGAGTACGATTCGCTTTACGACGACGATGACGAAGAACAGAGGAAAAATACGCGTACAAATCGGCACGGAGGAAGACTTCTAAAGTCTACCTTGTAAGAGGTACAGGGTATCCCTGAAGTGAATGGCTCAATGCGATATCCTGACCTTCAACAGCCAGGACAACTTCAAATCCGAACCTCTTGCCCGACGATCGTGGCGCGATTTTATTTGTACCCTCTGAAATAGCATCGTGAAAAACACAGAAAAGAAGGTATTTCAGCGATCTTTGCCAATGTACCTCATCAATGGGACAGGAAAACCCTGAGTTGCGCAGTCCACGGCCGCCATACCCGTCTTTGGTACATCTATTAATTTGCCACCCTCGTAACGTTCACCAGCAATGCGTGGCGCAACATTGCCGGTTGGTTCTGTAAGCAGGGGATCGGAAGAAACAATACGAACTAGCGTAGAAGACATCTCATTTCTTCAATTGGACCTTCCCGTATAGTTGTATCGCAATTTAAAATGAGATATACTCGTACAAACGTTGTCTATACTTTGAAATTGCCTGACGCACGATTCTAACTCGCGTCGTCTGTCACGCGACTTGTGAATGCTTGTACCTGAATGCAGGTGCTGGGAAACCCTGAACAGGACAAGGTAGGCCGACCGTCTGTTCGATTAGGATGTCCCTCCTCAATCCGTTCACATCCTTGTCTCGTACATTCGGACGTACACTGCCTCGCGGCTCTGCAATAGCGCAAACAGTGGGCAAGTGGAGAACGCGGCTCTACCGTAATCATCGTCATCGTCGTCGTTATCAGGCGCATTGTTGGCGCACAGCACGCAGCACGCGGGTTTGCGGATGGTAAAATGTGAAGATAACGATTGATAACTGTCTCGCATTCTCAAAAACCACATCACCGTATCCTAACCCATCAAAGTTTAAACATTCCTTTAATCCGATTTTACTTGATGCAATTATCAATAGATTTGAAAGAATTTAAATAATTTCACGAATTTTGAGAACAAATTAGGATAATTTGCAGTGACGATTTATGTTAAATTGTTCGAGCTTGCTCACCTGAACATAGGCGACGGGCTGGCCTGAGCCTCGCAAAGCAACGTCACTGCTTGACCCTCATTTTTCACCATTTCGTCAAATTTAGATCTAGGCGGCAATCGAGGCGGACTACTTCCAACCGTTTCTAAAAACGAAAAGGGCGAGAGGTTCACCTACCGCGGAATCAATCGATATCTTCACACATATGTTTTAATCTAATATTAGTACACGATCGGCAAGATGCACTTCTAATTTCAGCGAAAGCAAATATCATTGTTCCCTGACGAAGACTTTTAAAAATTACACAACATCTCTATGGATTCAACGTTTCTAATAGTTCTTTCTTGAAAAATCTTTTCTTGAAGAGTCACGAGTAAATTGGCTTCTTTTACATGGCGCGCACACAGTTGCCACGGGCATAAATTTTATTTAGAAGCACCGGACCTTTTATTTAATTTTCATCCCGAGGAAACTCTTATCAACAGCCAACATTTGCTTGGGGCTTACGTCGGCGTACCTGAAGACAGGAAGTGGATTCGCTTGAGCCTGACACAGCATCGCCATGGCAGTTCGCAACGCGATCGAGAGGACAGTTATTTTAGCTGTCGGTGGCACTTTCGGTGCTGCGCCATTTACTGGCTCTAGATACATAAACAATAAAGCGATGAAACGGGTCAAGGTATTCGGCGTGTCGCCTAAGCGAGCAAAGCTGTCCTTCGTCAAGAGAGCGGTATGTCGAAGGCATATCTTTAAGCGCGAGTAAAATTGACGAAACGGAGGAGAGTCTCCGCTGTGGAAGCATACGAGCAGTAAATTGTAATATTTGTAAATACCTATAAGCTGGAAGAGGGTGTCCCTGCGCGGGGCATAACATTGTTACAGCCGCTCCGACGACGCTTGCGAGAACGTCATATTTAGACGTGGAAGCGACTCTAGGCTTGGCACCGTTTACGGGTTCTACAGAACGATAACGTTACGAGAGCTGTATCGAATGGGCAACAAACAGGCTCTACGAGAACATTCAGGCTAATTAAATATGTGTCGATGGACTGACCTAAATGCGGGAGCAGGGAACGCCTGAGCGTCGCACAACAAACTGATTTCGGCATCCTTCGTCACTTCGAAGGAATTGGATTTTGCCGTTTTGGGAAATTTTGGCGCCACACGACCTGCCGGCTCTAATGCGCGTGAATTTTGTTACTTCTCATGTCACACGTATGCGTCCGAACAGAACGCGCCACTGCCGTGCTACAGTTTTTA